ATCGGCGCGGGCAAACTCTTTAAAAATAAACATAAACAAAGCCCAGGCTATTCTTTTTCGTCCAACAAATAAACCTGCGCTAATTAAAAACAGCCTTGTCTTAAGCATAACACCTATTAAAATTGTTTCTACCTTCGAGACATTAGGCGTCATTTTTTTCTGAAAACATGTTTCGGGATTACCGTGTTGAATACGTGATCTCTAAATTGCCCCGCATCATCCAATTAGTGAACCGAAAACGCTCTATTCTTCCAACCAATGTCCAACTAGTTATTTACGATTCACTTTTTTTTCCTACATCAGTTATGGCCACCTCATCTGGGGTACAACTACGTCTGGAAACCTGGAAAAGATATTTCGTCTTCAAAAGAAAATTATAAGAATTTATCTGCAACGATTCATGTGACTCCCATCATGTTTCTTTAATAAATATGCTATTATAAGTAACTATTACTTATACAATTACAGGTTAGCCGCTGGTTTTAAGAAAGAACAAAAACTGGACTTTCAATTTTTGGCAAGTCTTGTCACCCTGACCTAAAATTGTTATAGCCTATTCCACCCGACATGCTGAGTGCTTGGGAGATGGTCACTCCAAGAACTAGTCACGGCCCTCAAATGCTAAAATATACGTTACCGCAATTACTTAACGACTTAAGTAGCCACAACTTGCACTTGGATTTACTCACCATAAAAGAAATTCGTAAATGTTATGTGTAAATACAAATTTGTGTAAATAGGCCTGTGTGTGTTTCGGCAAAGTTTATCTTGCTTTTTTTTTTTTTTCATTTGCTTCCTTCTGCCACTGTCGGGGTCCGGGAACTCGTCAAGCTGAACAAAAATTTAGGGCGCAAACAAGCTGGTGAAGGTTTAACACTTTAGACAAAACCCCGAGACTGTGTTTGAAACTTTGTGTTGTCCTCTTTTCCCCCGAGCTCGGGGTTTTGTCTCAAATGTCGTCAAGCTTTTCTGACAGCGCACCAGTCACCTAGCTGTGTTTGGAGATTTGTGTTTGTCCTTTGTCCCTCTTATTCCCCCTCTCCAGGGATTATTTTCGTCATCGTTGTCCAGCTCGCTTGCACCTTTGCATTTCAAATTGCATTATAATCATAAGCTTTTTCTTTTTCTTTCGGTCCTTTTTTTATCAGTTAACGAAAAAAAAATTATTATTAAGTACATTGTCTGAGTGTGTACTTGTATACTTTACTTAAAGATTTATTTCTTGTACTTTCCGAGGAAAGTACAACTCCCAACTTCAAAGTACATTGTTCTAATTTGTAAACAAAAACATTATGTATACCGTCATGTGAAAATGTGCTATCATATTTCAAGACGTAATCTGGGGTCATTTCTCTGAATGGAGAAATGGCGGCTATAAGACAGATACAAATAAGTGCCTCATAAAGTGATTGTGCTTAATTGTTTGTCGACAAGAATTAAAAAAAAAAAAAAACTACTTTGTGTCAATTTTACTTTGTCTAATACGTGCTGCCATTTCCGAAAATATCTGATGCACCCTCGATTACGCCTGGGACGATGCGTGCCATTAATAATAATAATAAAAAAAAACACTGTAAGGGAATCAGAAAGACTGTGTTTAAAAAGTACTTGTATTTTACTTTGAAAGTATATTGCATTTATAGTATTTTACTTCAAGTACATACCGCCCGATGTACTTACCACTTGGAAGTACGTAAATAACATTTCATTTACTTTGTATTTCAAGTACTTTTTTATCTGTACTTTAAAAAACACTGCTTCCTAATCATTGTGTTCAAATGAGTAAAAAATTACTCCAAAAAGTAATCGATTAAAGTAATTTGATTACTTGAAATGAGTACCGTCTGCCGACAGCTTTAAGAACGCGGGGTATTGGTTTATGGCGTTCACACACTGATTGCTTCGGTATTCGCTCTTCTGCGTTCTTAATGGCTCATCAAGTTGGCCGCGCAGTGATTATAAAGCTGGGTAAGACGCCGACTCGTCTACGATAATTGTGCGAGAGTCCTTATCGCCTGACGGGGAATCCGTCCTGACACCCGAGTCTTGTCCGCACTGGTGATTAAGTTTGACGCGGGGCAAGGTCCCACGACGTGAGAGTCCCTCAGGAATTCGGGAAATTCGGATCGATTTACCCTCCCCAAAGAAAAGGAAAAAAAAAGCGAGCAAAAATATCAAGAAAGGAAGTAATACCAGCAAAAAATCAGACAAAAGAAAAAAAAATCAAAATTGAGATGCTGCGCAGTGCAGACGACGGTTTGCAGACGACATTTTTTTTTCGTGTGGTTTAGCTCTGCGGGACAAAATTTGTCGTCTGCTATCTTGACGTCATCCTTCCTCCTTTCCTCGAGCTGTTCGCGTTTTTTTTTTTTTTTTTTTTGCGTCGTGCCCGAATTTTTGTGGAAGTTGACCTAAATATTCGCATTTTATCGTATAGCGCACTTTTTCTTCTTTTCTATAGGGTGATTCAAGGAGAGTCCAGGCTCTTTAAATCGACCGCAAAATTCGGTTTCTTAACCTATCGCGCTACGATTTTGTGCAGCGTTGCCCACAGATGGTGCATCTTTTTTGTAAAATTTGTTAAGAGCGAACTTACCCGAGGAAAAACTAAAGAAAGTGAAAGGCTTAGCCACCGTTCTTCAACAGTACGGCGCCGTTTCGCACGGGAGACAAGAGATGGCGCAAGCGGTCGCGACGCCAACTGCCGCCAACGAACGAGCATACGACGCCGAGAGCCGGCGTTTTTAGCAGACAAGGAACTGCAGTTTCTTGTTGTTACCGCGCCTGTTTTTGTTTCTGCGACTGTCGCCGCCTGCGGAACGCGCGCCGCTTTTGAGTCGAAAAGCTCGTCTGCTAAAGACGCCGGCTCTCGGCGCCGCCATGCTCGTTCGTTGGCGGCGTTCGTTACGCCATCTCTTGTCTCCCGTGCGAAACGGCGCCGTGTTGTTTGAAGACCGGTGGCGTCGCTGCGTTTCCATAGGTGCTAAGCCTTTTTCTTTCTTTACTTTTTCATCGAATAAGTTCGCTCTTTTCAAATTTTACAAAAAAAAAAAAAATGCACCATCTGTGGGCAACGCTGCACAAAGTCGTAGCGCGACCGAATTTCGCGGTCGATTTAAAGAGCCTGACTTCTCCTTGAATCACCCTGTATATAGCGATTAGATCTACACGAATACTTCAGTTTGGATCGCCTGTTTATGTTTATTGATCGCGCAATAAACTATTTTGAGAAAGGTTTTGTGCTCAACATATTGAAGACGGGTCATGGCGATTTCACATCAATACAAAAATGCAAACCGTGCTCACCACGTATAAAACAACAGCGCGATTTTTTTTTTATTTATTTATGATTTTTTTCATTATTATTTTAACGAACAACGAATTTGCACAGAATGCATTGCCTGCTAGCCTTGGATATGAAGACCTCAGAGGGCTTTCGCTATCGCAGTTGTTTGTAGTGGTCTACTTGTACTAAAAATAACTTTTTTCCCCCTATGTTTACGCGTTAGCGGCATTTGGGAAACGATTACTGGGCACGCAATTGACTTCAATGCACAACCGAAAACCCAACGACACGGGTGTGCCGGCAGCATGGTTTGTGGAAAAGTTGTCCTAATTATTATTCATAAAAAAAAATAATAATAATAAAAGTAAAACAGCGTGACTTCGGCGTGACGGCGCTTCCTTGACGGACGAAATTCGATCCCATATGGCTGGGAACACGTTTGCATGGCGCTTCAAAAAAGCAAAGCAAGAAGTTTTCGAACTCAGAACTGTACAGTCGGGATTCTACTTTCTGCTGACGCTAAAGACGCAGCCGGTAGACGTCATTGCTATTTAAGCAAGCGAACGAAGATACGCTATAGCTGATCATTTGCTAAAATGAATCAGCAGAACACAACGGACAGATCCTGGAGTATCCGTAAATGTTTCAGAAACGCGAACCACTTCATACCGGCTGCAGCGAGGGAGCGTTTATAGTTGTTCGGTACAGCCAACGTGCAGCCCAGGTCCAGAACTCCATTTTGGGGGCGTGGGGGGGGGGGAGGGAGGGAGGGAGGGAGGGAGGGAGGGAGGGAGGGAGGGAGGGGGGGGGGGAGGAGGGAGGGAGGGAGGGAGGGGAGGGGCGGCGGCGGGGGCGGAAAATTTATAATTATACTATTCTCCCATTCTTTCTTGTGTACCGGGGGGTCCACCCATGGCAAATTGCCCCCCGAGAAGGGGGAGGGGGGTCGACTTAGTTTGGGGGGGGGGGGGGGGGGGGGCGGCCGCCCCCCCGTTGAATCCGCCCCTGAGCTCAGGGGCACTGCCCAAACTTTGAGAACGGCCAGTGTGTCGTCTGCGCCCAAGTGCTGCCAGCCTTCGCGGTCGTTTATTCCCTGATGTTTATCCGAAAATTCCCTAGATTTCCCTAGATTTTCAGAAAATGTTGTTTTTCAAGAATATTGATGTGATCCTTATGGAGTAGCTTAAATATATATATTCGTGTAGTTGAGTGGCCATTTATAGGTTAAATTTGCTTCGTTGGAATCTCTTTACATAGTTAAAGTGGACAGTAAGAACTTGAAAAGAAACTTAGTGAGCTCCTAAAACAAAGTCAACGTATAAAACCGATTCGTAACAATAAAAGCAAGCAATGATCTAAACTGCCAGTTCCGACATAAGGAGTAAAAGCAGCTTTACACAAAATCCCCTAAAATTGCTGTTTCTGCCACTGGAGATTTGCTTTGGCCCCAAAAATATACAAAGAAGCATTCTTCCCGCTGCGCTCAGCCGGCACAAAAAAGGAAAAGGGGAAAAAAAAAACTTGTTTTTAAACCCCATTAAAGAAAAGAAAACACACACACCTAGATTTGAACAAATTTTTCATTGCACGTAAACGATAACGGAAATTCCTAGATCTAGGAGCAAAATCCCTAAGGTAGGCAGTACTGTCTGCGCGTGCCCTCTTCTATCTCGCCCAATTCGTTGAAATCCCTCGTTGTTCTCTGTGTGTGCAGGCGGAGGCCATGGTCCGGAGCAGGGCATTCCGGACATGACGGCCTTGAGCCGCATCGACGAGGACACCATCAACACCAACCTCCGGACACGCTACAGGAAGGACAAGATCTACGTATCCTCTTCACGCTGCTCCACGCTGCCCATTCGGATGGAGCGAGACGTCGGTGCTGTTTCTCATACCATTCTGGATGCGCATCTAGATCTGGTTTCCGATCTGGCTTGTGCTTGCACGCATCTGGTCTGGATTAGATCTGGATTAGATCTGCATCTAACTCTGCATCTAACTCTGCATCTAATTTGGATCTGGCCTTGACCTAGTGGGGGTCTGCACCCTATTGACATCTTAATCTCTGTCTGCATATTTATCTATATCTCTATATGAATCTCCTATCTGTATCTGTTATTCAAATTCTTTAACTTAATCTCTATATGAATCTCCTATCTGAATTTCTTACCTTGAAGGGGCGGTGCAACGATATTCAATTGCAATGATTTTCACTTTACACGAGCTTACTGGCACTAGTGGGACTCAAGGATACTCGCACGCAACTCCACTGACCAAAAAACGCCTTTTTTTCGCTGTAATTTCGAGGACAAAACCGAGTGTTTTCATTCTATCTCTCCTTCGCAAAACCTGATGACGTAGCTGGGCGGTAGCAGTACCGCCCAGTGACGATATTTGAATGCGGCTCATCGATTGGACCCGAGCATGGCGTTGACACTCGATTTGGGCTCGTGATAATTACTAGCTCGAGAAGCATTCGGGTAGTGGCCCGTGTCCAATCACTGCAACGACGACCACAGCCGAACTATAACAATGTCTAGAACTCAGCGCGTGTCCTGTGCTTTGCCAACCCCAGCGCGTGACTATGATCAACATTGGCGGCATATAATCGGCTCCAGATCACGTGGCCGCTTGTTGTGGCTGCGAGTTGAGGGTGTGAAGTCTGCTCGTTTTTCTATATTTTTTTTCTGCGACTTAGGTTGCGTGTGGTGAAAAACGAACGGGTATTTCACAGGTCATTAACGTCAGGGATCCGTTCTAAGCGGTATTTGCGCAAAATACGAAAATCGTTGCACCGCCCCTTTAATCTCTATCTCAATCTCCAGTGGTACCAACAGCTATTTGTTAAACTGGATTCGTGTATCCAGTTAAACTCTGAGTTGAAAAAGAACAAACTTAAAGGTGTCTCCCGGCTACTTTTAAATGTTTAATTGCAGACAAAGCGATTGTTGTACTTTTCTACGTTTTTTTGTTGAAGGATTACGCGAACTATTTGTTCAAAATATTAATCTGGGAATGATTGTTCAACTACACACCTAACAAATATTACTATCGTCGTCAAAAAAAAAAAAAAAAGTTATTTAGAAACGCAAATAAAAAGAAAAACAAGTGTGTATAAAAAAAAAATGAATGGGCTCGCTCTGAAATGACCTCTCATCAAGAAAGATTATGACGGGGAAAGAAGACATTTTTGAGTCACTTTTTTGTCGTCATCGCGAGCTCCGCCGGCGGTGGGATTCGAACTCGCGACCTCGAGTTTGTGAAGCGCGCGCTTTTGCAGCACGCCACGCCAGCAACTGGAACTTTTATGTTACCAGATGTTGGTGTCATTCAAAACGAAAACTGCTGTTTTCTTTTTGTTATGTGAGTTGTAGGTTTGAATTTTCAACTTTACGATTTTAAAAACGCCATGATAACAGGATTGTTCGTGGCACCGTGTCAATGTCGGGTATTTCGGGCCCAAATAATTTCGACTTGTCAGAACTTGAGTAAACTGGTCGCAATTTCTTGCGACAATGGAAACATGGTCAGATTGTGTTGGAGGGGTTTCAATATTTTGTTACTATTTTAGATGCATTACCATTCATTGTTTGTATTATTTGTTGGCGGTTCTGAGTGTGGATTGTCCAATAACCTCATAAACGTGAATGGGTTACAGTTTCACCTTTAAAATAAACTCTGATACAACGTGTTTCGTCGGACGCAGGCCAAAGTTTTAGCTGCGACAACTACGCGTCTTACACAAGAAGGGTTGATGACTTATTGGTCACTGCCAAAGGAGCTGTTTAGAGAATAATAATAATAACATTTATTCAGCTCAGAAAGAGTTACGACGCCACACAAGGCGAGATATTGGTATTTTCCATGTGATACTGCTCTTTTGAACACATATAGATCAAAAAAGGAGCGCCAAAATTTCGTTGTAGTATCCCTTTAAAGGGATACTACAACGAAATTTCGGCGCTCATTTTTTGGTCTATATGTGTTCAAAAGAGCAGTATCACATGGAACATACCAATATCTTGTTAAAAAGGTCTCGAAAAGGAATTTTAAAACGAATTAAACGATTAGCAAAGAGCACCTGATGGATGTCGCTAACGCCTCACTTGTGATGCCCGTCTAGGAACCTTGGCAGCTAGTGACGGAGGTTGTCTCGTCTCCGGCCACGACGAGAGAAGAGGGGCAGGAGGAACTCCCCTCTTCCCGAGAATGCCTTTTGTGTGTCGCAGAAGTCGCTATTGTCCCCCTACAAGATTACAGAAGATTAACCCGTCCCTCAAAATTCATACAAAAACAGCCGCTTCGGTGGCTGGAACGACTAGGCCATCCTCTCGACGTCAGCCTCGCCGTAGCTTTGCTCGTCTTGAGACGACTATACGTCACGATTGCGTTGGATGTCACGTGGTCTCCGCTGGGCCTTCTCCGAGCGCTTGCCAGAATGGGCCGTTTATAGCGAAAAATACAGCCACCAGGCTCAAAATTCAAACGTGCGATTGTAATTTACGGATATTGTAGATCATATTCAACCTATTTTTGAACACGACGGGAATATTTCAAATTTCGTTGAAGTATCCCTTTAAGAGAAAGGTACAGCTTCTGTTCGAAACCTTGTTGGGCATTGTTGAAAACCAATGAATGAACCACTTTTATAATGAATATTTATGGCGCACGCAACGCTTCACCGTGTTTTATGTATATATATATATATATATATATATATATATATATATATATATATATATATATATATATATATATATATATATATATATAACTGGAGAAGAAAAGACCTTTAGTGAAAACAGCAACAACGCACGATTTATTCTTCGACGTTTTGGCCGAAACGTCGAAGAATAAATCGTCCGTTGTCGCTGTTTTCACTAAGGGTTTTTTCTTCTCAGTTATATACCCACGCCTTCCACCTCCCGCCACCATGCCCGTTGTGTATATATATATATATATATATAACCACTTAGAACATACCGCCAAGGTTCCGGTTTTACGTTGTCTGCCCATTAGAGTCAACCGTGAATAGGAAATCGAGACTTCGGAAGAACATTTCAATACCTGCAGCTTTCCAACATTTCTGCTCGGCCAATAGCCAAAACTATGATGCCATTAACTCCAAAAGGCGCTACAAAAAAAAAAAAAAAAAAAAAAAAAAAAAAAGCAAAGAAGTTAAAGGAAACAAGGGGGAAATCAACGTTTAAAATTCTGCTACTGCATTTTTTCATTCCAGTCAAAGCTTTTCCGGTGCTTTAATCTTCCTCTTTGTTGTATGACAATAATAATCCCCAGAGAAGTTATCATCATCACAACTTTGTCGTATTTTCTTCTTTTTTTTTTCTTTTTTTCATGCCGGGTGTTTTTAGTTATAAGACTGTCCAGGGAGGTAAAAATTAAACAAAAAACATAGAGGTTGGCGTATTTTTAGCCTTCGGGCCAAACTGCTGATGGCAGCTACTGGAAGAAAAAAAAAGGCGAAATGGGTTATTTTGCTAGCTAATTAACTAGAACGTTTTAATTAACTATTTTCTCGTATTTATTTTATTTTTTTTTTGGGGGGGGGGGGGGGGGGGCGTAAGGTATTTGGAGGATCGACGCGCCAAACGATCTGCCGCGTTGTGAAATTTCGATTAAAAAGTTCGAAGTGGTCGTTATACGGAACGAGAAAAAAAAAATCGCGAAAATTCAAAAATAATCTACCCGTTGCTCACCTTCTCTCCTCCCGAGATCGCCACTGAAGCCGGCGTTGACAAAGGCCAATGCTGGGGAGAAGGACGCAGTAGAATGTAAAATGGCCTGTCCCGCTGTGGCGATGATGAAGGCAAGTAAACGGAATAAGTGGAAACAAAACCTGAAGGTCGTTTAGGGCGGCGTCGACGCGCAGCTGATTGAAAGCGCCTAGTAATTGCGCAAAGAATGAAGCAGCCGGCGGAAAGCGAAGAGGTCGACGCCATTGGCACTCATTGCTTTCGGTTTGATGGCATGTACGAGGGCTTATTTCGTGGAATTCAATTGATTTCATTCCCGGGACACGGGTGGAAATCGAGCCCGGGCTATCACACTCGCCTCGCCTCCCCCCCCCCCCCCCCTCCGACAAAAAAAAAAAAAAAGAAAGAGAAAAAGACAGAGAGGCAGAGAGAGGCACGCATTAACTTTATGTTCGCAAATAACCAAAAGCGTTAACACGCAGCATCGTTTTTTTTTTTTTTTTTTAAGTGACATATTGAGTGATTTTTGGTGAGGCGCAATCCTTGGTAGCATTGTCAAATTTACAAAAACATGTTGTGAAGTATCAAACTCGTAACCCCGATTATTGGCAAATACCAACGTGTCGATCGAATGTTGGCAAAGGGATGTTATCCTACCGAGGCCCAGGACTTCTCAATTCACTAATTTTTCACAATATTATTGATATAGATAAATTGAGTTTAAATTAATTACGTACTGTCACGTATAGGTTTGATACAGTGTACTGATATTTGGTTTTGTATATACTTGGATGTTGTATCTCTATGTTCTCAGTAAGTTGTTGATCTGGTAATTCCTCCTCATGTCCATGTATTTGAAGATGAACAGGGTAATTAATATCCGTTGAATGAGCTTGTTCTTTGATTGAATACCTTTGCGTTTTATTCGAATGTTCCCTATGACTGCTGCCGAATGTCACTGGGGCCGAGAGCTTGTCAGGCCGTCTATCGCGGCTTTTATTCTCGGCCTCATCATTACCTGTAATGGGGAATCAAAATAAAGCTTATTATTATTATTATTATTATTAATTATTATATTTTTATAATGCGTTACTTTATTACTTTAAAACGCTA